CGGAACGGCTGCTGAGAACTCAGCTGGTGAGAACCCAATGGGATCTCTGTGAAAGTCAATTAGTTTTATTTTTCACATTTGTAAAATTTATAGGATTAAAAAAAACCTCTTTCACTGTCTTTTCCTTGAAAACTATGAAACTGCCTACAGGCTACTCAAGGGGCCACAACTTGAACCATACTGACTCACAGGACAAAAGCAAGATGCTCCTGAACATGCCTGAAGAGCTGCCATCCCACTGACCGACTTTGTGGCACCATTTCTGTAGTCGAATTCATTTTTATTGACACTAACCAACCTAAATTTGAGAATTTTTTTTTAATAATCTATCAAAGAGGATATAAAAACCACTTTACAAGTCCGATTCTGGCATGTTCTAAGAATTTCATCCTTCCTAGTACTGTGTTTATTTGTATTGTGTATATTTTATTTACTTGTTTGCTATTTTAAGAGGAAAAGTTTGACAAAAAGGAAATGCTAATCTTTGAGATTACAAACGAGGAATAATGCATCAGTCAGGGTAGGGGGGTTACACTGCTGTAACAAACAAAGACTCCGAACATCTCAACGGCTTAATCCATCTCTAGAGAGCTATACATCCACAGGGGCCTCTGCCCCCCTCTCACCCTTGTCCTCACTCTGAGACGCAGGTCGTCGGAGCAACCCCTGTCGGGACAGTGTCGCTCCTGCGGGAGACGGGAAGGAGAAATGTGGGGGGAGGGCCTTTTGTCGGCAATGAAACGCTCCAGTCTGGAAACGACAGGCGTATCTTCCACACACAGTGCCTTAGCCAGAAATGGTCAGATCCCACTCGACCGCTAAGGGACCCGGAGGTGCAACCCTACTTGTGCCCAGACGGGGCAGAATGGAGACGTTTGGAGAACTGCACAGAATCCCACCTTGAACATTAAGGTGGGGTTGCTGCTCATTCTACAAGTGCTTATGGGGCACTTATGGGTCCAAAGGACAGTTCAGGTTGCCAAAGAGCCTTCAGCACTGACTTCAGGTTAATGGGGACGGAACAAATCAGGACACACGCAAAAGTCACGTCAGCATAATGAAACGTCATCAGAGCCGAAAAGCACAGAAGAACAGGAATCAGGAGGAATTCCGAAGAATGAGAGAATTGTTTTGATTTGAATGACTGGGGAATGCTTCATAGAGGAGGTTATCGGATGGCAGCCTTAATATAGGAAGTTTTTTTTTCTATTTTACTTATTGAGATTATGATAGTTTACAACGTTGTGAAATTTCAGTTGTACATTATTATTTTTCAGTCGTATTGTAGGTGCACCACTTCGCCCTTTGTGCCCACTCCCTGCACCCCTTTCCCCTGGTAACCACTAACCTGTTCCCTTTGTCCACATGTTTAACTTCCACATATAAGTGGAGTCATACAGGGATTGTCTTTCTCTGTCTGGCTTATTTCACTTAACATAATACCCTCAAGGTCCATCCATGTTGTTGTGAACGGGATGATTTTATCCTTTTTTTTATGGCTGAGTAGTATTCCACTGCAAAACAGGAAAATGTTTTAATATCCAAGGATGGACCAGGGAGACAGAAGGAAGGATTTCTGAGCAGAGGAACAGCACATCCAAGTCAGTGCATTTTAACACACCCACGTTATAATTGTGTTGTCAGTTTCACAGTGACAATGACATCTGGAAGCCCATTTCCTCGTCCTCCTCTGAGTTCCTAATACCCTGCGGCTGTCACATGGGGGTATTGGGGATACGGTGCAGTATCTAACTCTGAGGGCTGTTGTATTACCATGGTTGAGTGTGTGCACATGCTGAGTGCTAGTGAGCACTTGGCACTTCGTACTTTCAAGAGGTACTTCTTGAAAGCTAATACGTCTTTGCGATCAGACAGACTGCGAAGAGGATAATCTTAACTTTGACAAGAAGGCAACACACTTGTCACATCTACTTTACACCTACATCTACTTTGTTGCCCCAATAAAGAAGCTGCACGGCCTCCATCTTGCATTCCTTGTGAGAGGCCTGTCTCCACTTGGTTTTTCTCGCACCCCAGATCTCCCTCCTTAGAGAAGTTCAGCTGGAAGTTGGTGGTTTCCTTAGTTTTCCTACACCTAGGCCCCCCCCCCCTTCATGTTGCTTGAGGCAAAGGGAGCTGTGGAGCTATAAGAGCAAACCAATAAAAACAACATCAATAGTGATAGCTGTTATCATTAAGACAATAGAGGTTATATGAAAATATCTGAGGCATTGCCTCTCTGGGCACACCAACGACTTGTGACATAATGCGATGGGCAAAGGCTTCTTTTAGTTGAGAAAGGGGAATGGAATGGGAACGTGACTGAGAGCAACCCAGAACTTTGAAAATAGGAAGGCGTACGAGGCCATGCCCCAGTCTGAAGCAGGAGCAAAGGAGTGACGTGGAAATTAATAACGGAAACCTTAACTAAATCGGAGTCAGAAAGCCTGTAGGAGGAGCTCTCACCCCATCCTACGTCATCACTTACTCCAAATAAGAAGAGACCTACGCTTGCAACTCCAACAGCAAGTGCAATTACTTTAATAAAGGAAGATTTCTCTCCCCACGCGGCAACAGCCCAGCCAATGAGAAGCATTGCCCACCCTAAACGGTTGCTTTCCTCCAATGGGCTTTCCTTTAGAACAGCCCCTCCCTACTCCCCCCTTTTCTCTACAAAAGCAGCTCCCCTCCTTTGTCTGCTCGATTTGTCTGTGGTTCAACATAGCATGCACACTCCGAATTGCAATTCGTTTGGCTCTTCCCAAATAAACTTGTTTTGAGAGTAAAATAACAGGCAAATTTGCTTTTTAAGTTGATGCTGTGGACACAGCTGTGGCAGTAGCTACTGCGTGCTGAATGTAGGAAGCTCTGACCACTGAGTCAATTCATGGTATCCAAGGCAAGAGCTAGTCAGAGCCAACGCATGACAGGTAAGGGGTCCATGGGTCTTTGGTATCAAGGGAACTTCAGGAGCTGTCAAGAACAGAGTGTGTGCCACGCCGGGATTGGGCCAGGCAAGGATGGGACACTCTGGATAGCCTGGCGCTCAGACCCAAGACCAGCGAGTTCGCCTCATGCTCAGAGCTGATGGAGCTCCTCTAGGTGGTGCCGCGGGGTGGGAGCCCTATGCCTAGATTCTACTGATGAATAAATGACAGACAATAGGATATAGTGGAGTATATGAGGAAGCCATTTGGGTTAAAACTAATTCCGCCTGACCTTGTTTTTCCAAGAGGGCCTGACGTGGCCTGTTGAGCATGCATTGTACATCTGTTTTAAACATTTACTGTGTCCCAAAGACAAGAATGATGCCCCTAAAGACAGGGACGTGGCCTCCCCCGTTATCGGCATTTCCTTAAGGATAAGCATCTCTTCCTGGAAACTAAAGATTAATTACCGACCTGCTGTGCCCGCTAAGCATCTCGTGACAGTAGTATAAGAGACATTCCTGTCATACGTGATGTATGCTCTTTGTTCCAAGATGGTATATAACCACTCTGTACACCCCACTTCTTTGGTGCCCTTCCTTGGAGAAGGAAATCCCCCAGTTAGTCCTCAGACCTGGCTTATAATAAACTCACCCCAATTTTGACTTACATATTATGGATTATTTGCTTCGACAACACTTTGCCCTCCTTGCCAATCTTGAAGATGCTCTGCAGAGGAGCCAGGACCCCCCACCAATTTCACCAATTTGCAGCCTGGAAATATTCATTAAAGGGCAACTCAATTCAGCAAGCAACCTCCCCCCGGGAGATTTAGGGAGCTGGCAGGCATTCCCCATTAAACTTGGTGAACAGCGGTGGCTCTCAAACTTCATTCCACGTTTCAAATACCTGGCAAATTTTACACATCCCCAAGCCAAAGCCACATTTCAGACCTACTAAATCATGATTTCTGGGGTAGGGCCCAGGTGTTATTAGGTTTTAAAACTCCTCTAGGTGATTCCATTGTGCAGCCAAATTGGAGTACAAGTAGATTACAGCCTCGCTATGCAAAGTGTGGTCCGTGGACCAGTAGCAACAACATCACCTGGGAGCTTACTGGAAATGCAGGTTCCCAGGCCCCACCCAGCCCTACTGACCTTTATTCACTCATTAAAGCTTGGTAAGTGCCTGATGGGATGTCCTTTATGGGGCCTAATGGGGCCTGCTGATTGTGATTATCTCCATAAACGGAGAAGCTCCTGAATAAGGAAGGGCCTGCTGAGATCAAGATCAGAAGCTGTTGAAGAGGCCTAAAGAAATGGAAAGTTTCTGGTTGGTGGTTGCATCTGCACAGAGTAATTTTCACACTGCCTCAGACCTTCCAGAGACCTACAAGTTGGAGGGTTTTTGTTTCCATTGCAAGCTCGATATGGGACCAGACAGCTGAGTGCTTTGTGCTCATCATTAACTTAGTCCTCAGGGCCACCCACGCAGCACGTTACTTCCCACTTTGCAGCAGCACAGCGAGGTTAGGAACCTGCCCACGGTCACCTAGCTATTCAGTGGTAGAGGAAGGACTTTATCTTGTTTATAGTTATTGAGTTGTTTTCCCTGTGTTACCAAAAGTCAGCTTTCTATTGTAGCTAGTGCCAGAAGGAGTATGGCCCGAGGGCATCAGGCAGAGACTGTGCCCAAGGACACCGACTGGGGCTGCTCGATCGGCCACTTCATAGCCGGGCCCTGGTGAGGAGGCAAGCGGAGAGGGGGAGATGGATGAGGAAGTTGTTTTTCGTCACTTCACTCCTATTCTGAGCCAAGGAGGGCCTCACCGCTGCTCCTTCCCTTTCGCCTTACCCCGCCGGGAGCATCCTCAGCCCAGTGACGGGGACCAGATGGGATGACTTCCTTGGAACACCCCAGGGCAGCTGCTGTCGCCCATCCCAGACCACGCCAAGCCTGGAAGGTGCCTCTGCGGTGGATAGCACAGGGAAGCAGCTGCAGGAGAACCAGGTCAAGCCCATCACACACGCTCCACACCCTGAAGAATAAGGACCACCACCTTCCAGCCAGGGGGTCAGAACTGAAGCTTTATTTGAATATGTTTCGTTATATTCAGAACATCACCACTAACTAGAAACTTGTATGCAAGGGTGACTTTTATAACTGTCGAGTAGATAAAATATGATAATAGAGTTATAACAATAAATACACCTTAAATATAAATATACACATTGATATCCCACACGTATAAAAGTCATGCTCTGTAAATACTCTATGCACACGTCTTTGTGGGGTGCTGGGTTCCAGGACGGGGCTTCAAGGGTTTACACGTGTCCCATTAGCTACGGATATTTCCAGACAGCTTATGTAGGAGCAACGCATTACAAATTTTGAAAAAAATTAAGTATCACAGAGCAATTATTTTTAATATTTATTACATTTTTTGTTCTATAAAGAATGAGCATTTCTTAAATATTACAAATGGTGAAACAAATATACTAGCTTACAGATATGTACAATGTACTACTTTATACTTCAAAAATGCAGGAATATAAATGATATATATAATATATATAATTTTAGATCTAATGAACAATTCAATATTGCTCTTGTGTTGGTCTTACTGTATTGCATGCATGCCCAGGGCACGCCCATGGCTTGTCACCAGATGGAGGAGGGACTGGCGGGACAGACGGAGCTCATGGAGCCCCATGCTCATCCCCAGAGAGCCATCATCAAAGCAATATTTTGAGTCTTGTGACTTACTGTGGCTGGGTCCAGAACTGCGCCCATATGCAAGGTGGGACATGTCCTCAAGAACCACAACTACATATTCAGGGATGGGGTCACATGGATACTCAAAACACGGATTCGGGGGAGGTAACTCCTCAAGCCCTGAGACGACTGGGGAGCTCCTACAAGCTGATGTTGACATAATCATCAATACCCTCAGTACAGTTCATAGAAAATGACAGCAGAACAAAGACCCAGGATTGGTGTGTCAAGAGCCTTCTGACAAACTCGGCAAGAAACAAAGGAACAGAATCTGTCCTGAATGAGATCCAACCTTCAATAGCTACAAGCTTCTCATGTGGACGAAGTTCTAAACACTTAAAATCACAGACAGGACTTGAGCGGGCTGCAAGAAGCCTGACTTGTGCCAGTAGGACTGGTCAGCAGAGAGACTCCTCTTAGGAGCCCTACGGACAGTACAGCCCACAGCAGGCGTCACATCTTACTACTAGCAAAGAACTCACCCCAAACCTCGAAACCCCACTTTGGCCATGAAGTCCTGTTTCTTCTTTCACTTAACCCACGTCCAAATTACAAATCATAAAATCTCTCTGCGAATAGAAATAGAAAAAAAATAGAGACAAGTTGAAAGACAAATGTTCTAGAAAATTTGCCAATTAGATCTTGTTGTGAAGGCTGTGGAACAGCCACTTGGAACAAAGGAGCTTGCTGGAGGGTGGGTCCCTTAGGGCTCGAGACGGCTTCAGGTCTGGCCCAGGCGTTCTGGGCTCCCTCTCGCTGTGCCCAGGCCACCTGCACACCCTTCCTTCTCAGGTTTAGTTCTAGGAGGCCAAGGTGGTGGGAGACGGTGGGGCTGTTGGTTCTCCAAGGTGCCTCCCACACGCTAAATACATCACCAGGGCAAGTTACTACTAGAGCTGAGAGGATGAGACAAAAGCAAGGAAATTTCACCAGAAACGGTTAATCTAGGATATGTTGAGAGTATGGAGCTGGGCAGCAAAGACACAGGAGGTGCAGGAGAGAGGAGAAGACCCAAACGGGAGTGTGGTGTGCAAACGTCCCCAACTTGACAACTCTGCCCAGGCTGGCACCGCTGCCCAGCAGCCAGGAAGGTCCCCTGTGCCAGCCCGGGGGGCGGCACTGCAGCATCCTCCGCCTGCCAGGCAGGCGACAGCAAGGATCACAGAAAGGCGGATTCCGGAGTCAGAGCCAGCATGGGCCACGCCGACTGGAACAAACAGGAGAGTCACAGGCTCCGTCAGTGGGACTTTTCGGGAAGCGATGGCAGAGCAATTAAGCCGATGCCTGTCTCCAGCCACCGTCCCGTCTCCATGCCAGCATGCAGGAACCAGCGGCGGCCGTAATTTGGTTTCAAGGATTAAGAACGCACGCAAGGTCATTAGGAGGAAAAGATAATTGTTTCCAGAGTGAACACTGCACTGAACAGCTCTTAAAAGACATTCATAATGGAACATTGATAATGGAGTCCAATATAAAATGTTGCATTTATAATGGAACATGCAAGTTAATCTAATATGGCCTGATCACATTTCCAGGAATATGCTCTGTCAGAGTCAGGTCATCAAAAACACCATGGACCACTTCTGTCTCAAAGTATTTCATTAAGGTGCAAAGTATGGCAGAGACAAGTTCATGTCACTTAGAAAAATGGATGTGCTTCTGGTCTTCAGATGGCCTTAGTTGGCTGTTACCCAACTGGATACAGATCGAGTTATTTAAAAGAAGAAAACCATCTTGGAGGGGAAAAGAAATTGTCTAAAAACAGCTACTTTAATTGCTTTTCTTTAAAATCTGAGGGCTGGAGGAAGTTATACCCCCTCATGGGTCAATGGGAGGAAACTTCACATTTCTAAAACTCTCGACGTATGACACAGGGAGCGTTATTGCGATGCTTTCGTCATGTCACAATATCCTCAGTCAAACACTGAAGAACTTCTGACAGGAGCACACTCTTCGCGAACTCATCACTGTACGTGGAAATACATACTCTAAAAGCTTAAAACGACGCCTGCTAACTAGGTCTGGCAGATGAGGGCACCCCTCAGGGTAGCAAGGCTCACGTCAGCTTGGAATAGACAGTGGACATCCGCTGGGGGAGGCGGTGCTCTTTTATTCTTAATTCAGTTAAAGAACCATAGAGTCGACCAACTTTGGCCTGGCCTTCTCACCTCCTCCCACCCCTCCCCTCCCCCAAGGATGTCAGTGGCTCTGACCCAGGGAAACACCTGGTCTGGGGGTGGGGCCTGCAGCTCCAGGTGAACATGCTCTCACATGCATGCAGACAACAGTTACTCCTCTCAGCACACGCTACTGCTGTGGGTACGAGCCCCACTGCCTTCTGATGGCAAACGAGGCCTTCAGAAGTTGCTGGCGCCTCTCTCGGCTCCCTGTGATGCCGATGCCAAGCATGTTGGTTTTCATTTTAACCGTCTGGGAGGTTCCCTGATTCTGGAGAGGGGGTGCTTATTGTTGGTGGTGTGAAATACCCTCTTAAGGACAATAGGGCACGTCTTGGTCAAAATGCAATATTTAACACGTGGGCATCTTACATGCTACCCTGACGACTGTGGGTGTCACGCGGGAGGGGGAAAGTGAGGCGACAGGGACAGGCGAGTGCTCCTCCCGCGGGAAGGGCCTTCACATGATCACACATTTGCCCTTGAGCTTTTCTTTCCTCTTCTGCTGCTTGCTCTTTTTCCCGTCGATCTGTAGGCTCACGGTCCTGCGCTTCTCCAGGTTGAGCAGCTCCTGGAAGAGCTCCTTCACGTTATGGTTGAGCTTGGCCGAGGTCTCCATGAAGGCGCACTTCCACTTGCGGGCCAGGGCCTCGGCCTCACTGCTCTCCACCTCGCGGCTCGGGCTCTCGTCACACTTGTTGCCCACCAGCATGATAGGGATGCTCTCCACGTCCCCTTTGATCTCGCAGATTTGTTCGTAGATGGGTTTGAGCTCCTCCAGGGACTGCCGGCTGGTGATAGAGTAGACCAGGATGAAGGCGTGCCCTTTGGAGATGGACAGCCGCTGCATGGCGGGGAACTGGTGGCTGCCCGTGGTGTCAGTGATCTGCAGCGTGCAGATGCTCTTGTCGCAGCTGATGACCTGCCGGTAGGTGTCTTCCACAGTCGGGATGTAGCTCTCCCGAAACGTGCCCTTCACAAACCTCAACACCAAGGAGCTCTTGCCGACGCCACCTGCCCCGAACACGGCCACCCGGTAATCATTGCTCTGTTCCGGCATGTTGCTTCACGGCTCCAACTATCAACCAGGAAGCACCTAGCAGAGGAACCAGATGTTTGAGAGAATTAGTAAAAAAGAAAAAAAACATCTGGGAAAGGATGGCTTTCCTCTGTTTTAACGGCACACACACATACAAAAAAAAGTTGAAATGATAAAGTTCACTTTCACCCTCCCAACATAACAACAATCAAATTTCACTTAAAAATTCTTTAATTCTAAATCCAATCATTATAGTCAATACTGGGTTTTTAATGGGGCAGTGGATCTACTCAGTGGCTAACCGGAACCATTCTGTTTCTCCTTACTGGACCACGACTCTGAGCATCTTCGCTCACACATCACCCTATGCCCAGGGGAAAGATGCCGAGGCAGCCCAAGGGAGGCAGAATCAAGGGAAGATGATGGGGAGATGGAAATTAACACCCCTCCAACACACACACACACACAGTCACAGCATATCTTTATTGTTTTAACTGAAGTACTGCCAACACCTAATATACTGGTCATAATAATATGTGATTTCTTTTATAAGTACCGAGAGGGAGAAGAGAGGAGGAGAACGCTATTAACATTTATTCAGTGTCTGCATTAACTCACGAAATCCTCACCACCTTGCAGAACTGGTGTCATTATTCCTGTGTCTCAATGAAGAAACTGGAGACAGAAGGAATCAGGGAACAACGTAATGTCCACCACTTCACACAGCAGTAAGGTGAGGCTGGGACACAAGCCCCAGGCTGGCTGCCACCTGGCCCGCCAGGACAGAGGGCTGCTCCCAGAGGCTTGCATGCCACTCAGTCCCTGGTGCGCATGGTCTCACGAAGCAGCAAGAGCTGACAGTAACTAGGAAACTTGGAGGGTCCTTTCACCCATCAAAGTTAAAACGATTATAGATTCTTTATTTTAAGAAGCATAGGAATCCTGTTACCAAGATAGTAGTTTAAATAACTATTAATGGTCATTACAATGGAGTATAATGGGGTCTCCTTTCATCAGAGACATCACACCCACCCCAAGGGGTGAGGGTACTTTCTTCACTATAGGTGATCAAATGTCTTTCATCCTGTTCCTTCTTTGCTAAGGAAGGACACAGAACACACAAAAAAGTGGAGAAATAAGCAACATCCAATTATTTTCATAACCAAAGTAGACAAATAATATGGTAAAGTGAAGCATGGGATCCATTTTCTCCAGGCAACCGTTGTGCTGACTCCCATTTTTCTAATCTTAGAGTGACCGAGGGAGGGTAATAAAGGCCCTGTACCACAAAGGCATCATCAGAGGCCAGTGACGATTATTAAGCATAATGAGCCATGGAAGGAAATGGGTGTGCAGTGAATATGTCTACTGGCAGACAGAACTTCAAGTCAAAGCCCAGGACAGCGACAGCCCACGTTCTGATTTCTCTCTGGGTTCACCAGGTACATGTGCCTCCAAACCGGCTCGATTAAATACTCAGCTATTCTTGTGTGTGCTTTGGAATCCCAAACCTACTGAGGAACTGAAGAGGCATCAATGCTAACAGAGAACATAGAAAGATGTCAGGAAGTTCATTAACAGCAATGACCGTGGGAAAGCCTGCCCGGGAGTTTGATCAGTCTATTAAATGCTCATGAGATCATGTGATCAGTTCAAGGGTGCAGCATCGTGATAGACCGTTCTACATTTATAAAATGCAATGGTACATGGAGTCTGGTTTGAAACTTATCCCTGCATCCCCAGAATGAGCCTCTCTTTGTGCTCGGAAGGCAGGGTCCTCACTCAGCCTTGCTTGTGTTACATTATTTAGCTGCAGACTGGAGTGTGAGCCTCTAGCCGGAAGAGAACGTGTCTTAACAAGCTCTGTATCCCAAAGTCTCCAAAAAAGCTGTTGGTCTTCAGCTCACACTCTTTCCATGTTTAGTGAACATGTTGTCAGCCGTGCTAAGGTGTCTTCATCACCAAACTGGCCACCGAAAGATGGAGAGCAAGCGTTAAACATCAAAAAGGAGGAACACATAACTACTGTTATTCATTGGTCCAAGAAATAGCTATTGGGCTTCCTCTAAAGGACAGTTCTGGGTGAGGAGCCAGCAAACAACTGTGCAGAGGAGCGACCAGAGGCAGGGGCTCTGTTGTCGTGGAACCTAGGATCAAGTGGAGCGACAGACATGACAAGATAACTTCACAAATATTTAATCAATTACTTCACAGCAGTGCTGCAAAAGAGAGGTCTGCAGGAACTTGATCACTCCTGGGATCAGGAACAACTTCCCTAAGGAGGTGGTGTGGGAGCAGGAACCTGAAAGATGCACAGGAGACAGGCAGGTGGAAGAGCATAAAGTTCAGTGTGAAGGTATGGGATAGGCCTGGGGCAATGACTCCACACTGATCCTCAGGTCTCGAATGGTTTTCCCCAAACTGCGAACTATATTCTTCCACCTCAGAATCATTCATACTTTACAAGCATTTATAAACATCCTCTAGAGACTATGCAAAGTCAGTGCTTACCCAATAGAAGCTCCCACATTGGAGGACAGACACGCAGGGGAAAGGATGCATTACATCCCACCTGGTAAGTGCTGTGGTAACGCCATAAACCAGTCAGGAGAAGAACTGGTGGGGCATCTAGGTCCATCTGGGGCCTTCAGGAAAGATTTCACAGAGGGCTGGGATTGGCCAGATGGTGAAGTGATAGAAGGCATGTCAGTAAGAAGAAAGGACCACATGGAGAGGAACCAGGGCAGGAACAGAGCAAATTTTCAAGCTATGGTAGAAAGGTGGTGAGAACTGGCATCTGGGGGCAGAGCTGAGAGAGCAGTGAGTGGTGGCACCATTAATCAAGGTAAAAGGTAGAAGAGAGAAGTAGGTTTGGAGAAAAGGTGGTGGACAGTGAGGAGGACGGAGCTGTGATTGGTCAGGTTTTTAAGACAAATAGGTGGAGATATCTAGTAGGTGACTGAGTTTCAGTTTGGAAGCTCAGCAGAGAGGTCTAGTCTAGTGATAAATATTTGGGTATCATCCATACATAAATAGCAGTATGATAAATAAAAATCACCCATGGAGAAAGCATACAGCATGAGAAAAGACCAAACGTCAGAACTGATGTATACTAGCAAGAGAACTTGGCAAATTGCTTCAGCTTTCTGCACTTGAGTTGCTTGAGGTAGAAAATGGAGATGATGACACCACTTGCCCCACAGAGCTGCTGTGGGGTTTAGTGAGATGAAACAAGGGCAGGCACTTAGTATAGGTGCTATAGCAAAGTTCTCTGGATATTTTCAGACAGGACCAGGCAGAAAAGGGGGTCACAAAGGAGCATTAAAGACAGGGGGAAAACTGGAGAGAAAGTGACAAAATCCCAAGGGAGCAAAAAATGTCAAGAAGACGTTGAGAAGATACAACTAAAGCAGTGCTTAGAGGGAAAGCATAGCTATAAACACTTATATTAAATGAGAACAGAGATCTCACATCAGAAACCTAATCTTCCACCTTAATAGGGAACAAGAGCAAACTAAGCCCAAAGGAAGAAAACTGAAGGAAAGATGAAATTACAGCAGAAATTACTAAAATTAAAAATAGAAAAACAATAGAGAAAAATCAATAAAACCAAAAGCTCTTTGGAAATATCAACAAAATTAACAAACTTTTATGCTAGACTAACCAAACAAAAAAGTGAGAAGACTCAAATTATTAAAATCAGGAATGAAAGCGGAGACATTACTACTGACCTTACAGAAATAAAAATGATTATAAGGGACTCCTATGACCAATTATATGCCAACAAGGTAGATAACCTAGATGAAATGGACAAACTACCAAAGCTGACTCAAGAAGAAATAAAAAATCTGAATAAACCTATGACAGGATAGTAACCAAAAACCTATCCACAAAAAAAGCCCAAGTCTAGTTGGCTTCACTGGTGAATTCCAGCAAACACTTAAAGAAGAATTAATACCAATCCTTCACAAGCTCTTCCAAAAAACTGAATAGAAGAGAACATTTCTCACTTTTTCTGAGACCAATATTACCCTGATATCAACACCAGACAGAGATATCACAAGAAAACTACAGACCAGCATCTCTTATAAATACAGATACAAAAGTTCTCAACAAAATACTAGGAAATTGAATCCATCAGTACGTAAACAGTATTATACATCATAACCAAGTGGGATTTATCCTGGGAAGGCAAAGTTGGTGTAACATCCAAAAATTAATATAACACAATATATCAATGAAATAAAAGACAACATGATCTCCGTAGATACAAAAAGAAAAAAAATGACAAAATTCAGCACCCGATCATGATAAAAAAAAATAATAAACTTAAACCAGCAATAAAAGGAAACTTCTTCAACCAGAAAAAGGGCACGTAATGAAAAACCTGCAGCCAACATAACACTTAACAGTGAAAGACTGAATGTTTTCTCCCTAAGATCAGGAAAAAGACAAGACTGTCCACTCTTGCAGCTTCTATTCAACATTTTACTGGAGGTTTTAATCAGGAGATTTAGGCAAGGGAATGATATAAAAGGCATCTACCTCTATAAAAGGAAAAGAAGAAATAAAACTATCTCCATTGCAGATGACACCACCTTGTAGATAGAATATCCTAAGGAATCCGCTAAAAAACTATTAGAACTAATAAACTAGCTCGGCAAGTTTTCAGAATACAACATCCATATAAAAAATCAGTTGTATCGTATCTCTACACACTTCCAGTGAACAATCTGAAAGTCAAATTAAGAAACCAATTCCATTTACAATATCATCAAAAAGATTAAGATACTTAGGAATAATTTAAGAAGTACAAAACGTACACTCTGAAAAATCACAAAATATTGTTGAAATAAACTGAAGACATGAAAAAATGGAAAGACACCCATGTTTATGTATCAGAGGACTTAATATTGTTAAAATGGCAATATTCCCCAAGTCAACTACAGGCTCAATGCAATCCCAAGAAAAATACCAACTGACTACTTTACAAAAATTGACAAGCTGATCCCAAAATTTATACGAAAATTCACAAGGCCCAGAATAGTCAAAACAAT